TTTTCTACCAACTCACTGTCTCCGAAGCTGTCGTCGCCCCTGCGGGGTGGGTAATCGTCGAAGCTATCGGTGGTGGCGGGACGGGCCCTCCAGTCGCTCTCGAACCTCTCTGAGTCACGGAAGCGATCCCGATCTCTGCCGAAGCAGCGATCGTCCCGATCTGCCGGGGAAAGGAGGGAAAACTCAGCTCACAGGGATGGGAGCAGTGAACCTGGAGGGAGCACAGCCCAGCCTCACCGTGCTCACTGCTCTGCATCAGCAGAAACCGCCGACGCTTCGTCAAGCCGAAGCAATTACCGCGACAGGGACAGCATGGGGGCGTGGGAGGAACCGGCACGGCGTTATTAGATAAGGGCTGGCTGGTAAAACATCCTGGCTGGGCCAAGCAGGCAGGAGCCAAGCCCTGAAGCAGGGCTCAGACGCAGTGATCTGGGCTGTGATGACAGCGATTTGTTCCTCCTCAGCCAGGCTGGTCACCAACCCAGCACAGGATGGGGCTACCGAGGTGGCCACCGCCAAGGGAGGATGGTGAGCCAGCATGACACTCACCTTTATCCTGAGCTTGATCAGCAACGTCCACTCGTATCCTTCTGTTCCCTAAAGACTGAAAAAAATCAGCGAGAAGTCAGCCTCAGGGATCCTGGGGTGATGCCCGAGCACGGCGCAGGCAGCTTCGGCCACTCTGGGCTTCTCAACGGCCTAAAAAAGCACTTTCTTCCTCATTTAAGTCTCAATCAAGCAGGACCAGCCGTTGCTCCACAAGAAAAAGAGTTTTTCATGCATCTCTAGTGCCCAGGGCTGCAGAGGAACTTGCCTGATCTGACTGGGGGGCACCGGAGGGAGCTCTCACGCCAGGGTGGGACTCACCTCTTCATTAAGGCTCAGCGCCTGGAACAAGGAGTCTATGTCTTCAAACTCAGCATAACCAAAACCTTTCAACCGCTCTGGGTTGGTGGGCTCCCTTGGCAAACGCACAGCACTGATCTGTGGGCAGAAGGAAGAGGAAAACGCTTGTAAGGACCCGCTCCCCCCATGCGAGGACAAGGGGAAGGGATGGAATTATCCGAGACCACCGAGTTGCTGCTGACAAGGGACTGAATAAAACCTCTCAATGAGGAGCAGGGAGGAGGTGCGGGGGGGTTCAGCCTACCCTTCCTTCAACCACATCACAGATTCCCACTAAAAGCACCACCAACACTTGTTTGGAGGGAGGAACACGGCACCAGATCTGTAGCTGCAGTGGAAACTGGTCTGAAGGGCCACAAAATCACTGCTGAGCATCCACTGCGGCTCCGTGCCCCGCGGCCGAGGGCTCCTCAAGGCAGGAGCCGTCCCTTTGCATCCTGCCTGCTCTCAGAGCTCCTCCCAAGCTCCTGAGAAAAACCCCATGGAAAACCAGCTCTGGATCCGTTCAGCATGAGTGTGCGCAGGGGGCCAAGGAGGCCAATGGCATCCTGGCTTGTGCCAGCCCTGGCGTGGCCAGCAGGGACAGGGAAGGGATCTGAGCCCTGGGCTCGGCACTGGGGAGGCCGCCCCTCGCTGAGGGGGTTCAGTTCTGGGCCCCTCACCCCAAAAAGGCCATTGAATGACTCGAGCGTGGCCAGAGAAGGGCAGCGGAGCTGGGGCAGGGTCTGGGGCACAGGTCTGCTGGGGAGCGGCTGGGGGAACTGGGGGGTTCAGTCTGGAGAAGAGGAGGCTGAGGGGAGACCTCCTGGCCCTCGGCAACTCCCTGCCAGGAGGGGGCAGAGAGGGGGGATGAGTCTCTGGAGCCAAAGAGCCAGCGCCAGGCCCCGAGGGAATGGCCTCAAGCTGCCCAGGGCAGGGTCAGGCTGGCTCTGAGGAAGGATTTCTGTGCAGAAGGGGCTGTTGGGCGTTGGAATGGGCTGCCCAGGGCAGGGGGGAGTCCCCATCCCTGGGGGGGTTGAAGAGTCGGGCTGAGCCAGCGCTGAGGGATCTGGGGGAGTTGGGGGGGGTCAGGGGGAGGGTCATGGTTGGGCTGGAGGAGCTTCAGGGGCTTTTCCAACCCGGATGATTCTGGGATTCTGTGAGCGCCCAGGCTGCCAGGACAGGTTGCTGGCTGTGCTAGGCTGTATGTCACACATTCTATGTACAACTCTGGTCATGCCCAGAGCCCTCGGCATCGCCTCCAGGCCCTACAAGACATCCCCACTGCACTTCTATGACCTCTCCTCCTCTGGAGTTTCACCCACGCTATTACTCTTTGAGGAGGAGTCGGACGCTGCCTCAGCAGGCATGAGGGGTTAGAAAAACAAGCTGAAAATAAAAGATGGAGGCAAGCAGCATGTTTCTGCCCGCAGGGAGCTCTCTGCTGCCATCAGCACGACTCGCTGCCACGCGGGGAAGGCCAGATTCCAGCTGCATTCCCCAGGCTGACCTTCCGGGAGGGAAGCGGCCATTTCCCATTGCCGCTTGCTGTCCTGCCTTTGCCCTCCCCACCGCCTCCCTGAATAACCCAAAGGCTCCAACACTCTTTAAAAGTGGGAAAAAATAATGTTGTGGCAGCCACAGGCTCCCTGGAAGCTCTGAGCCACAGGGCAGCACGTATCTTAAGTGAGCTCCAGCTAGGAAACCCCTTGAGGGGGCCGGACCCAGCGCAGGGCAAAGCAGAGCCCAGGGGACAAAACACTGGACAGGCAGAGGAGGAGGGGAAAAAAAAAAAGAGAGCAGAAGGAACGCAGATTTCAGAGGACAAGGAGGTGCTCCAGGTGCTGGAGCGCATATTAGCAATAAGAAATCTATTATAATTGGTAATAAATGTAGTTTTCCCCAAGTCAAGACTATTTTGTCTGTGACTAACTGGTAAGGGATCTCCACGTCTTTATTGCAACCCACAAATTTTCTCATCCTATTTTTTCCCCCTGCCCTGCTGAGGGGGAGCGAGTGAGCAGCTGAGGGTGTGTTTCACACCAGCAAAACACCCTAAACCACCCGGACTCCCCCCTTTCGCCTGGTTCAGCAGAAGAAACACCAGCCGCCCGCTTTAAAAGGGTTCTCGCTGCGTCACCATCGCGCCTGGAGCAGCTGGTCGTCGATCCAGCAGCCACGGGTGGCTGGAAACGGCCCCTCCACACCCCTGAGGAGCCAGGAGCTGCCTCGGCTGAGCCGCAGTGAAGTGGGAAGCGACACAGACAGAGCACAAACGGGGATGGCAACGTCCAAAAATCCTGATTTTTACAGCCCACGTTACCCCGAGGAGCGCCCTGCCCCACAGTCCAGACCGGGTTCCGAGCCGGTACTCACGTTGAGTCCTCTGAAAAAGTCCTTGATGGATTCTTCTGTCACGTCGTAGGGCAGGTTTCCCAGGAAGGCAGTGTAGGGGGGGGATTTTGGGAGGCGGCTTCTGTCTATGTTGGGTTCCCGAGCAGCCCGCGGGGCCGTGGGCAGGATGGAGCGGTCGATCGGAGGGGCCCGGTACACGTCGTCATCGTTACTGTGCCAAGTGGTGGAAACTAAGGAGAGAAATTTAGCAAATCACCCCCCCAAAAAAAAAAAACCACCCAACTAGAGACCGGTTACTGCCAACGCCACTCCATCCTTGCCACACGCCACATTAGGAGCTGCATGTTAAAGCTCCGAAATTCATTTGACCCAGCGTGGAAGCAGCTGCCCAAAAGGCACCAGCAGCCCCCGAGGAGAAACTGAGGCAAGGGAGAGCGACCCCACGGTCCCACAACTCATTTAATAAAGCATTAAAGCCTTCCTGGGATTGATTCCTGTTTGAATTACAGCCCGTCTCATGGAAAAAAATACCATGGCTCAATATTCAGAGGGAAAACTCCTTGTCACTGCCAGGTCACTGCGCTCTCCGGTGAGCTCCCGGCCTTGGTGGCATCTGCCCACCCGCCGCTGCCTTTTGCGCTGACAAAAAGCTCTTTTTATCCCATTTCTGTCCCTCGTGTGGGTGCAAACCTCCCTCCCCACCAGACTGCGAGTCTCAGTCGTAAGAAGAACTCAGTCTGCTCTCTGAGCTTAATTACTCCCCAGAAGAGAAAAAAAAGGCAAAATTTTGCGAGGTTTGGGCCTGCTGCTCTGCGGTGGAGGGTGGGTCAGACCCGGGGCTGGCGGCGGGGTGGTTGCCAGCATTCCCACATGATTTTTCCCCCCCTGCAGTGGTGTGAGAAGGGTAAGTATCCATCCACGGAGAAACTGCCTCTGCACCCCTCAGCCCCCAGGAGCCAGCCAGAAGCAGAAGCTTCTTCCTTTAAGGCCACAAGGCCAAGAACTGCCCGGCGCTGGCGTTTCAGGGCGCAGGGAGGCTGGAGGTGGCCATACCGTCTCCTTCCAGGTCGTCCGTCTCGTCGGCCCAGCTGACGGGCTTGGGGATGTAGGTCGGGCCCCCGCCGCCGCCACCATCCTCTGCCAGAAAGTCCGTCAGAGTGAGGGTCTTGCCCTTCTTGTTCTTCTTCTTGGCTGTTGGGGAGAGAAAAGGAGGAGGACAGGGGTAAGTGACACCTAGGAACGGCCTGGTTTTGGGCTGGGGGGGAGGGCAAGGAGGAGTGGTCTGGGCAACCGAGACGTGACATGAGCCACGGGGACGCAGGCGCCGGCCACCTCATCCCCATTTATTTTCTGTTTCCAAAGGGGTAACAGCCTCACGTTCAGCACAGCCAAAAATCAAGGCTCCCGTCACACAAAGCGCTTCACGTTTTGGGGGTCCGCTGTACCCACAAACCTCCCCGGGAGCTGTTTACTTTGGGGGAGAAACCACCCCATTTCCACAGGCATCACGGCACGGCGATCCCACGGCTGCCGAGATCCCTCCGGAGCCAGACACTGCTGGGCCTCGCCGACATCTTAACAAATCTCCCAACTCCTCCAGCTCGGGGAGGTTGGGGTTTTTTTTTTTTGGCTCCACCGGAGCTGCAAGCAACCACAGCATTTATTTGTCAAGGCTTCGCCATCTCCCAACGAAACCGGGCGTCATGATGGGCTGCGACAGCGCCGGGGAAGCCGGGCTATTTTTAGGAAAGCTGGTTATGATGCAGTTTGCAAAATTCAGCAGGGTGGTGTTTTTTTTTTTTTTTTTTTTGCCTGCCTTGCAGAAGGAATTGCTGCCCCCCTGCGGCACCGATGGCCGGAGCAGGGACCGATGGCACCTTTACCTGCAAAAATGTTGCCTTTACCTGCAAAAATGTCATTTTTATCCACAAAAATATTTCCAGGCAGAGCACCGGGGGCTCAGACACCCCCAGTGCCTCAGGACACCCCCCTTGCAGGGATTTTCAGCAGCGCTTCAGCTCTCACCTCCCAGGAGAAAGAAAAGCTGGGCTGCTTTAAAAGATACTACGGCGACAGCAACGCAAAACCACTAATTGCTTTTGAAAACACGCGCTCTTATCTTCGTTAAGGAGAAATAATAAACTTTGCGACTGCTGGACTTCACGCAGATTATCTCTTACCAGGCTTCTGGCCGGGGAGCACGATAATTAACTGGTGAAGCGTTGCAGGGGCCTTAACGAAGATAACAATGACAGACGCGGGAGTGTCGCAGGCTACTCGTTTGCTGTCTCTAATTAGCCAAAGCTTGCCTGCTGTTGCTCAGAGCTGAGGGATTGCTCACCAAACAGCGCTTAAAATGGTTTCTTCCACAAAAATCCCCGCACCAGTGTCGATGGAACGACCGCCAGCATCTTCCAGCAGGGAGAGACGAAGGGCTCCAGGTACAGCTCGACTGCCCATGTGCAATTCCAGGCCCTGTCCTGCTTCCCAGCCCCCTCAAATCCTCATTTTCTGTGTCCTGCTCTTCCCCTTTGGTCTCAGTCCAAGTTTTTTAGGGCAGCATGAAACCGCACCCTGCTCCTTCAGCCAGGCGTTGGGAAGATGGAGCCCTCCCTCCCAGTATCTCCAGCGACGCTGGGAGCTCCCAGATGCCACCACAGAGTTCCTGTTCTCCCCCACTCCTGCTAGATCTTCATTCCCAACATCCACCAAGACCCCAGAAGGGACGGAGAGAAGAACTGGGCCTAAAACCAACCCTTTACCCTGCAGTGTGGCCAGCTCTGCCTCCTGGGCTGTACCTGCACAAGTCGAGGGAGAAGTATCAGGACAGAGAGAGGAAACCCAATGGCAGCTCGAACCCTTATTTTTAGCCACGACACATCAGCCCCCAGCCTCATGTTCCCCCCACCGCTCTCCTCGAGCTCACAGCCTCCCCAGGCAGCCATCACTCCTTGCTAACACCTCCAGGCCCGCTTGGGCCCTCCATGCTCCGTCCCGTGGCTCCGCTCTGGGTGGTTTCGGTAAAGCCGGGATGGCCCAGAGACATGAAACAGCACCGGCAGCGATGGGAGACGTGTGGGGGCTGCTCCCCCCATCACCCCTTGGCTCCCGGGGTTGTACTCTCCTCCTGGCAAGACCCTAGTCACGCTCTGGAGAAGACCTTGGCAGCACTTGGGTCTTCCTCTCGCATATCCAGCCGCTTCCTGGTCCCATGGACATCACAGCCTTGGCTTTGGGACTCTAGGTGATGGGAAACGTGTCCCCCAGGAGCCCGAACACACACAGAGCCACCCTAGAGGGGGTGACCCAGGGACCCCCATGCCTCTCACCACCTCCCGGCTCTCCCTGGAGCAGCTTCACACTAGTCACAGAAGAGGCAAAATGGGTTTTGACAGTCCCAGGAGAGTGGGGAGCGCCCTGAGCACCCCACAAGGCCTGGAAGAGAGAGCTCTCTCCCCCTGACCTCAGGGGGCGACACCTTCCAGCCCTCCAGCACTGTGCCAGTGGCCGTGTCTGGGGGTAGGTGACAAGCCATGGGTGCTGCTCGGGGCCCTCAGGAGCCCCCCTGGGCCTTTATCTCCAGCAGCAAACATCCCTGGGTCCCCCCTAAACTTTATCACCGGTTTTGAGGCCAACCAGCCTCTCTGATCCATCCATCCTGGTGAAGGCCAGAAGCCATAAATCCCAGTTGGCCCTTTGGAACGGCTCAAGCTCCGTTTGCCAAGGGGAAACTCATGGAAAGATGACGTCAGCGCCGGATAAAAACGCCGGGAGAGCAGCGGCAGCGGTGACCGCCTGGAAAAAACGGAGGAGAAACACTCTCCCGCCAAAGATGAGGGCTGTTCCCACGGAGGGGAGAGGCCGGCCAGCGTGGTTTGTCCTCCCTGTGCCACAAACGACACCGGATCCGCTCCCAAGCAGCCACCGGCCTCTGACAATGGGCGAGCCCAGTTCGCTCCGGCCACCAGCTTCTGTCGCAGGACAACGATGTCACTCCAACGTCGAGGAGGGAACCCCTCCCCTCCAAAACTGCAGAAAAATCTGCCCCTTCCCACTGGTTTTAAGCCCACAAAGGGGCAGCTGAGCCCGTCTGGGGAGGCACCAGGGCTGGGTTGGCTTCCATGTGAGGTTTCTGACACCAAAGGGGACACCTGGGTCACCCTGTGCCTGCCAGCTCTACCCCTGTAGCCCAGACCCCCCCAAACCCCCCCGGGCCAGGCTCCCGGGGCTGCTGGGGGGGTCACATACGGGTGGGGAGCTATGCTCCCCCCTACATTTTGGGCAGCACCATGGGGGCAAGACCAGCTCCACGCCCCAGTGTGAGGCCTCAGCTGCCCGTCACGGTGCTGGGTCTCAGCCAGCCCCGAGCTGAGAAACCACAGAGATTTTTTTTTTTTTGTGGGGGGGGAAAAGCGTGTCATTTCTGTATTTTCCCCACCCCGACGCCAGGCTCCAAATGGCGCCGGTAGGTGGAAAAGAGCGGCCTGGTCCCCGAGAGCTGCCGCTGTCAGGCTGCGGGGAGGGCGATGCTGCCGCCAGGCTGCGGATTCCCCCAGGCC